TTTTGGGTATTTTGAGCTAAAGTTAAGCCTTGATCTCTATCTGTTGAATAGGTAACCTGTAGAGTCGTATTCGAAGCAGTGTATTGTTCAGCTATTCGTCAACCGTGGTGTGAGTTTTTCTTTTTACTGTATTTTCGGGTCGAAGGCATCAAGTCCGACCTATTGGATTGATATCCTGGTTTACTGTATGTTGCTATGTTATAGTGATCTGTATCCTAGTTTATAGGATGTTGTTATACAGTAGTGATCTGTAGATCTGCTTATTTGTCTGTTGGCTGATTATATGTTTATCTGTTATGCATATGTTGACATATTTTGAGTTGTGGTTGAGGCTTTACTGCTTTGTGCATGAGCCAACAGACCGGGGGGCATTCCAACCCGATGCTTGATTATGACCGAGGGTATTCCATCCCGAGGATGATTGGACCCATTGTATATTGACATTCCAACCCGATGGTTGATTGGGCCCGAGGGTATTCCATCCCGAGGATGACCGAACTCGTTGTATATTGACATTCCAACCTGGGGTTTTCCATCCCGAGGATGACTGGACCAGGAGGTTGACTAGGCCTGGGGTACTCCAACCCAATGGTTGATTGGAGCCGACATACCATTTTGTATATGTTATCTGTTTGTGTGGTGGTACTTGGGGGGAAACTTACTAAGTTTTGTGCTTATAGTTTTAGTTTATGGTTTTAGGTACTTCAGAGAATCGTGGGAAAGCAAAGGCGTGATCGTGTACAACTTCCTGTTTTTATGGCTTTGGGTCTTGGGAAAACTCTGATTTTGAAATAATGTTTTGGAAAAATGACTCTTTTGTAAACAATGATGTCAAATGGTCGATTTTGACAATTTTAAATTTATTGTGATTTTTGGAGTGTAACATTGTAGTGTCTAATTTAGACCAGACTAGGCTCTATAACCCCGATAATATAGGTCAACAATTATGTCCAAATTTCTAAAATTTTTCATAATTACCATATTTGTGCATGAACTCAAGGATACATGTTCCTATTGAATCCAAAGAAGAAATGAGAGTTGAGGAATCGATTAATACCTCTATAAATCATGGGAAATTCTAGGAACAAGATGATGAGGGGAGACCACCACTACACCACTTCAAAACCACCAAAAAGCCTCAAAATCACCAACATTCCTTCTTGATTAGGTCTAATATTCAAGCAAGGAAACCTCACAAACAAACTTTATCAAATGGAAGGTGTTAGCTGCAACTAGGATTACAAACCCAAATTTTTTTGGGTTATCATCACTTAAATTAGGGGTGTTGATCGGGTAATTTTTTCGGGTTTCGGGTAATTCGGGTCGGGTAATTCGGGTTTTTCATGTTAAAAAAAATACACGTTACCCAACCCAAATTAAATTCGGGTTATTCGGGTTCGGGTAATTCAGGTATCGGGTCGAGTTTGGGTAATTCACCTGAAAATAAATTTAATGAAACGAGACATAAACGAAGTTACTCAAGCTTTGAATTTCACCTGAAAATAAATTTAATGAAATAAATATGTCGTGCTTTATTAGTCTTGTTTATATAAACAAACGAGACATAAACGAAGTTACTCAAGCTTTGAACATTGAGATTTTTTAGTCGTGATATCAAGTAATTTTTTAACAACTTAATCTAATCTAATAAGATGTTAAAAAAAACAAATACTTAAAGATCTTAATTTAAAAGCTTAAAATGTTTAAGATAATTGTAGCCATAAGTTTTGTCATGTTCTGAAGCTTCGTCAAGATAATGAGTTTGTTAGTTGCAATAAAAACTATAATCTAGAAAACAGTTAAGTTTTAAAGAACATGATGATATATAAACAATTACTTTTAATATTGCTAGTGTCATATTGTCATAATAAAAGAGATTCATGTTTTACAATAATGATAGTTAGTTTAAGTGTGATCAAATACCTGCTACAGAGTACAAGCTCTATGAAAAAAAAAGAAATTTTAAAATAATTCGGGTAATTCGGGTATACCCGAAACCCAACAAACGTACCCTTTACCCGACCTTAAAAAAAATCAGGTTACCCGAGTACCCGAAAAAATTTACCCGATACCCGATTTACCCGATACCCAAAAAATCGGGCGGGTAATTCGGGTATCGGGTATTTTCGACAGGGCTAACTTAAATACCCCATAAGTTATATAATATAGGCCCTCAAAATATGATAAAGTGACACCTAAACCCATTTACATGTTTAGTCATGTATTATTGAAAAGTTTCGTTTTATACATGTTTAATGTTTACAACTTATTATATAATTTTTTAATCAACATGCATAATACCCGAGTCTCTAATCTAATTTACGAATGAATAAAGAAAAATGATAGATTGGTAAATTTCAATGTCAGTGGAATTAACCGGAAGAAAATTTATGGAGCTAAGAATAATGTCATGCGGCCTAAAACAATTCTTTTATATATATATATATATATATATATATATATATATATATATATATATATATATATATATATATATAATAGAAGTAAGTTCAAATAAAAGCAGTAAATAGTGTGAGAACGTAAAAACACTATGTTTATGTTATTATTCTGTAATGAATTTTGTATATGTGTATTGTTGAAGTAATTCTAATATAAATATTAACTTTCGATTAGTCATATATTCATTACAACGTTATTATTCTATTATAAACTTATATATGTGCATTTTGGTAGTAAATTCTAATTTTAATTTTAACCTTTAACTATTCATTTATTCTTTGCTGAATAATGACATAAAGTTGTCGATACAAAATTCATTGCAGAATAATAACATAAAATAGTGTTTTTACGTTCTCACACTTATTTACTGTTTTTATTTGAACTGTCATATATATAGATATATATATATATATATATATATATATATATATATATATATATATATTGATTTTGATGTCTTTATAATCCTGTTTGTAATGAAGATATGATTTTCTTAAGTCATGTATCAATACAAAATACTTAAATAATTTATGAATATGTGTTAATTTTTAAAAGATATAGCATTTCACTGATTATTTAGAATAAAGTTATTTTTTATTTTAAATCTAAATATTTTTTTTAACAACACAATTTCATAAACAAACAAAAGGGGATAACAAGAAGCTAAAATCACAACAAGACCAAAGCAGCAACACACTACGACCATTAAATAAGGTGTTGTTTGTTTTTTCGAAGCGAAAATTCATGAAGTCTGAAGACCACCTCTGCAACCCTCTGCAGCAGAAGAGGTTGACCAAACCCTCTGCAGCAGAAGAGGTTGACCAAACATGTTTGTTTTCTAACATCTGCAGACTGTTACAGTAAACTGAAATTTAAATAAACTAATTTTACAAACTGAAAATAGTTATCTAACACCAAAATTTCAATAATTCTAGTTTTAAAACATTTAAAGAATATTAAAAAGAACATGTAAAAAAACAAAAATATAAAATTTCTAAAAAAAATGTAAAAGAAGTTATCAGTTTTATTCTAGAAAAAAAATTAATTTTAAAAAACATAAAAAAGAAAATAATGAAAAAAATTAAGAAAATATTACAAAGAATGTCTACAAAGTTCGTAAAAGAATTACAATGTTAAAAAAGATGCAACCAAAATTGAAAATATTATTAACAGAAACGGTAAAAAAATTAAAAAAATCAAAGTATATTTAAAAAAAATCAAGTTATAAAAAATTATGGAAAATTATAAAAAGAAATTGTATCAAATCCGTAAATCAATTTTTTATAAAAAAAAATCAAAGTTAAAAAAAAAAATCAAAGTTTTTTAAAAAATAAGCTATACCAAATTTCTAAAAAAAATCACTTGGAAAAAATGAAAGTTGAAGAGGCAAGTCAAATGCTGCGCCGCGCAGATGTTTTGTAGTCTGAAAGCCTTCCAAAAGAGAAACAGCTTCAAGAGGGCAAATGCTCCGCATGTGCTGCGCCAGACAACAAAATATAGCCCGAATAAGTTTAAAAAAAAAAGAACACCTAAGACATTTGAAATATTAATTTTTTTTTTTTATAAAAATATTAGATTTTTTTTATAAAGAAACTTCAAACATAACAAGAATATCTTAAACAATGACTAATTAATTTTTTAATTAATGTATTTAAAACAAACGCGTATTGTTGTGTGAAGTATTTTGGGGAACTCACTAAGCTATAACTTACAATTGTTGATTTAAATGTTTCAAGTACTTCATTGGATTAGGAGAAGGGAAATGCGTAAATGTACACATCATCCAGTAGTTTTCATGTTTGGAGAGATACTCTGACTTTATTACTCTGATTTGATATGGTTGTAAAACAACGTTTTTGGTGACTTGTGTTTGATGGACATATAGTTTTTATCTCTTTTAAAAATAAAAAAATTTCGATGGATAATAGCTTAAAACAGTAATTAAACTAGTTTTGGGTTGGTCATAATATTAAATTAGCTAAAAATTGAACATATAATTATGATTTACTTCGTATTCCGGAAGCATTCTTCGTGTTCTGGAGTAACTATTTTACACTACTAATCGTATAAATAAACAACTAAAATTATAGGAATGAAAAACTTACCCATAAAACCATCAAATCATCGGAAAAACTTACCTATAAAACCATCAAATCATCGGAATCATACGTCATATCTTCTTTGCTTCTTTACTCCGAAATATAAAAAATATTTCAGATTAAAATCCGAAATAAAGGTTTTATACTTTTTCTTCGGGAACATGCCGAAATAGGTATTCTGGAACCTGTTGAATGGATCGGGCTGGATCCATATAGTATGAAGTGGATTATTACAAAAAGAAACCGGTTATTTGTTTAAAAAGCCAACAAAAAAGAAGATTAGATTATTTAATTTTCCAATACATTATTACGAGGACATTTAAAATATTAGATTTTTTGGTAAAGTTCAAACGTCAGAAAAAAAAAATCTTAAACAATGACTAATTAATTTTTAATTTTACTTAACAAAGGCGTGGAAAAGGTAATGTGCCAAAACGACAACCCAACTTCACCTAACACCTCTAGTTCTCCGGAGACCGGAGATGTTGACTTTGATGCCTTTATACTCCTCTTTGTTCTCTCATCTCACTAATTTCAATGGCGTCTGCTTCATCATCATCTTCTTCTTCTCTGCTAAATCATACCAGCTGCCATGACGTTTTTTTAAGCTTTAGAGGTGAAGATAATCGTAATTCATTTACAGATCATCTCTATGCAGCTTTAAAACGAGCAGGAGTTCGCACTTTTAGGGATAATGATAATATCGACAGAGGTCAACAACTCAAGTCTGAAATTGAGAGAGGAATCAAAGAGTCTAGAGCTTCTATAGTTGTATTATCAGAGAAGTATGCGAATTCCAGCTGGTGCCTTGACGAGCTTGTTTTGATCCTTGAGCAAAGGCGGAGCATAAATCATTTTGTTTTACCGGTGTTTTACCATGTCGATCCCTCAGATGTTAGGAACCACAGACGACGTTTTGCAATAGAAGTAGAGGAAGGAGTAGAAGGGTCAAAATGGACAGAGTATAATGTCAATCGATGGAAGGTAGCCCTTTCAGAGGTTGCTAATTTGACAGGAATGGTTTATTCGGGGTATGCTTTCTGTATTCGTTTTTATTGTTTAATCCTTTAAAACTCCTTTTGATTAGTTCAACTGAGATTGTTAAATATGATAAGGAATCGTAATTTTACCTAGCAGATGATCGAATTCAGGTATACATCTTAAAAACATCAAATCATGAATTTTTCTTTCGCTCACATTGCTTTAAATTTATGCAAAGAGCAAAACCAGATTGATGATTGGAGGCTTAGCTGTGTGTTTATTTCATGGCATGTTATTGTATGGCCTTTTCCATAGTAGTCTAAGTTGTTGGTTTACTTTTGCACATACTTCATTTGCTTAGCTCCTTGTCTCCGGACACATTTGGCATGATAACTGAACTTTCTTTATAGTGAAGATTACAATTTTACTTGAGCGGACAAATAGCTGTTCAGTTACTTATGTATACACATTATGCCATTCTATTCACGCATATGTATATGATGTGAAATAATGAGTGAGAAGTGAATAGAATGTGCTCATTTTCTTTATTCTTTTCTTGCAGGTCTGAAACAGAGTTTATCGCAAAAGTGGTTGATACAATTGACTGTAAACTAGATTTGAAACTAGTTACTACTCCAGCTCATCTAATTGGAATAGATTCTCGAGCTATAGCTATCAACTCTTGGTTGGAAAAAGAGCAATCTGGTGATAACGTTCTAGCAATTTGTGGCATGGGAGGTAGTGGCAAGACGACTCTGGCCCAATTCATTTACAACTCAAACAAGCAAAAATTTGGAAGCAGCAGTTACCTTGAAGAGATTGGAAAGCACTCTAAACAGTCTGATGGTTTGCTTGGGCTACAGAAACAACTTCTCACAGACATTCTAGGTGGAAACAATATTGCAAGTATATCTAGTGTATCTGCAGGGACAAGGAAGGTTGAGGATGCCTTACAAGTGAAAAGGGCGATTATTATTCTTGATGATATTGATGAACATGACCAATTAGACGCTTTACTTGGAACAAGGGCTTGTCATACCCAAAGCAAGATCATAATAACAACTAGGCTTTTAGATATACGTGCATGGTTCAGGTCCATATCTTGGAAGTGCGAGGTGCAAAAATCCGAATTGTTGAATGATGATGAATCATTACAGCTTTTGAGTTTCCATGCATTTGGATCCAAAATTCCTATGGAAGGTTTCAAGGAGCTCGCAGTTCAGTTAGCAAAGTATTGTGGTGGAAACCCACTAGCTCTTAAAGTATTGGGTTCTTCTCTATTTTCTGATGCTGAAGTGCCAAGGGAGAAAAATAGTATGATAGGGGTTTGGAGAAGTACATTGAACTCACTGAATTCATTAAAAGGAGATCTTGATTGTAAAATCCAAGGTATACTACAAAAGAGCTTTGACTCACTACCACATGCCAGTAACAAAGAGTTGTTTCTGCACATTGTTTTTTTCTTTGTTGGTGAATATGAGGGTTATGTGGCAAAGATATTGGAGCATGACTGGCAAGCAAAGGCTGGGATCAGGACCCTCATTAATAGATGCCTTCTTACCATCTCACCAAGTAAAAAAGTGATGGTGCATCAACTGCTTCAAGAGATGGCAAGAAACATAGTCCTTAAAGAGAACAAAGATCCTGCAAAACGTAGTAGAGTCTCACAAAATGATGAATCTTACCGTTTGTTGAGAAACGGAAAGGTATGATGTTTCTTAATTATGTGGATCTTTACACTTCCTTTCCCTTTCACAACCTCCTATGTTAATTTGCCTTTTCTTATTTCATATCTTTCATTAGGGTTCTAAAACAATTGAAGGTCTAGCACTTGACATGCAAAAGCTCGAGGAAGGGATTACATCAAATGTAAGCCAAAGACGTGAATGACTGTGGTACTCATATTTCAGTATATTTTATGTACTAATTAACTAACTTAATCCTAAATTTGCAGCCATCAACCCTTGATACAGCTACACTTGCAAAAATGGACAAACTGAAATTGCTCAAGCTAGAACATGTGGAACTCAAGGGGTCCTACAAGAATTTTCCAGAATTGAGATGGTTGTATTGGACGAGTTTTCGTTTGAAAAAAATACCCTCCAGCTTATTTGGGAGCAGCTTGGTGGCTATACACATGAGCTATGGATTTGTGGAAAAGTTTGAACCGCCCATGGTAGGAATTTGATGTCTTGTTTGTCACATGACCTTTTAGCTTCCCAACTTTCTAACACCTTATGTTTGTATTCTTTGAATAGGTTCTTAATTCGCTGAAGATCCTAAATCTTAAATGGTCCTTCAATCTTGTCAATATCCGCCATCTTTCCCGACTTCCTAATCTCGAGACTTTGATTCTCTCGTATTGTTTCCGTCTCAGTCTGACTCATGTTTTGGAAACCATCAGAGGTCTTAAGAAGCTTTCTCTACTGGACTTTGGAGGGTGTAATCAACCTTGGAAAGATGAAGGAATGCCAGCATCATTGTTGGTACCCTTTCCAGACTCGTTAAAGCTTTTGTTTCTCTATCGCTGCAGTAATCCGTTAACGCCCCTTACCAATCTTAAAATGCTTCGGGTACTCGATGTGAGTAGTTGTCCAAATATAAAATCCCTCCTTTGTCTCCCAAGTACTCTAGAAGAGCTGTGTACATCTTGGTGTTCTTCACTGGAGAAAATAACATTTGAATCCGCTGGGTTCAGATTGCGGAAATTTGAATATCTAGGTTGTGGAAACTTGTATGAAATTCAAGGCCTTTTCAAATTGGTGCCGTTAGAATATCTTGATGAAGCAGATTTAGGACATATGAAATGGATCAAAGGATATCATGATACTAAGGAGATGCACATATGTGATGATTTCACAACATACCGTTCGCATAGAGCGGTACCTTTCTCTCTCTCCTGCATGCATGAATAAGCACAACAAAAAAAAACATATCTTTTTACCAACAAAAAAAACTGATTTATTTATGAATAATTTGATATTTCTTCTATTTGTTTGACCAGGTGCTGTATGAATATGGTATAATGAGCACATATCTGGCACGCATAAGGGATCAAAGCATGCCAACGCCCGAATATATGTCATCGTCTGCATTCTTATCCTTTCGTGTGCCTTCTTGTCCTGAGAATGGCAGAATCCGTGGATTAAACATAACCGCCTCATACAGAGGATCAGGCATATCTTTATCTGCAGCATACAGGGATAAATATACGCGGGCTTTGTTTGCCAAAGTCAGCAATACAAGCAAGGGCCTTACTTGGATGTATAACCCTGTGATCTATGCCAATGTGGAAGTTGGAGAAGATGCTGTGTGGTTTAGCTATTGGCCCATTGGGAACATTTTAGACGCTGGTGATGAAATCAATGTGTCCATCATTGTGGGGGATGGATGGATGGTAAGCAGGTGTGGTGTCAGCCTTGTGTTCATGGATGATGATGAAGTAGAGCCAAAATACTACAAAGATTACAAGAAAGAGGTAGAAGTTATCGGAGGAGATCTATCTGAATTTGAGCTGACCACAGGAGCCTACTATCTCTGTCGTCGCGATTACTTCAAGTCAACCACCCCTGATTGGTTAAATATGTTAGTTGGTGATACCATTCCACGTAAAGGTAAGTCCCACATTGAGCAGATGCTTTTCATCAAGATTAAGCTGCAAATACTGATTAATCTTTATATCACACTGTCATAGATTTACATGGATGGAGAAAATCTCATCAGAGCGACTATAAAACATCATATATGGAGCCGTTTGCTTACAGAGACGACCGATATTCCGATTGACTCTAAGTATTGTACTTTTAATCATTCTTTTTTGGCATGAAATACCAATATTTGTTTGTATATTTAAATCAATTTGCTGCTTAAATCCCTTAACCTAAACTAACCTTTATATTTATTATATAAATGAATAGGACTATCAAATTTGTACCACAAAAGACTAACCAACATGCTATTAAGTAAACCAAGAAAGTTTGCAGCCAATACGTTTGGTACGGAACCAATTCATTTCTTATATATAATCGTATATTTCAATTTGTCATGTGTGTTTATTGTTTACAAATTTAAAAGCATGGTATTAGCCATTTATTCGTAGTCAATAGTTATTACCACATTAAAAAAAAAAAAAAAAAAAACTAACTGAATTTCATTTGTTGGTCTTTTAACTATTATATATATAACATAAAAGCTTAAAAAGTTGGGGAACAGTTTCTCTTTCATGTTTGGCCACGGAAGTTTAAGTTTTCGTTATTTTGACACTTAGAGTTTTGCTTTCGTTGTTTTCTTTTCTTTGGTTCCAACTTCGCGCTTTATTCCACCACCGTCAGCACCGTCAGCTTCTGACACAACAGATACGTGCCTTCTTCCCCTTTTTTTCCTTGCTTACTCACCCTCAATTGTATCTTTTTCCACTGCCATTGTATTCAATCAGATAGAGCTTCCACCGCTTTTTTTTCTTCTGCATCCCTTCAAGGCGATTCTTACCCTTCTCCTTCCAATTCTGTAAATCATCCGTCAATCGATACATCGCTCTGTCGATAACTGCCTCTCACAACTCTTCCTTTGTCTTAGAAATTCCGCTTCTGCTTCTCCTCTCACCTCCACTGTTGTTATGTATGGACATCAAATCGTCGAATTGACGTCTCAGGTGAAGTCCCCAGTTTTTAGGGCAAAGTAATTCCACCGGCGCGCCCCTTTTTTTCTCAGCAAACAAGCAGCCGCCACCAACTGTTGCTTCCTCTTTTTGGCTATACCACAAGCAAACACAAAGTGCACCGTCATACTGTCGCCGGTGCGTTGAGGTTCTGGTGAAAGCGCCCTACCCGGCGGCCTTCAACCATCATATGTTCGACATCTCTGAGTAAGTTTCTCAAATCCATCTTCACTCCTTTGAACGGGTTGTTATTCAGTCATGGATGGAACCATGTATGTATTGGTCTTATTTGTCTTGATGACAGTTGCAAGGACACCTGCGGACTTGTGCACTGCAGCTGACCAGCTTAAAAGCCACCCTGGATCTTTAAATTACTTTATTTTGACCCTAATTTCGCCAAATTTTAGAATTTAAACTCATTTTTTTGAATTTTTGATTAAAGTCACATCCTTCATCTATTCTTTACCCAAAGTTTTGGGGTTCTCTGCAACATGTTTAAATTTTTATATCTTTTTTCATGAACTTCTGTTGCGATGTTATACAGAATCTGACAATTACCAACTACCTACAGTGTAGTAATAGTAACAGATTTGGAGAAGAGGGGAAAAGGGATGTGGCAAAATTCAAGTAAACCAAACTTTTGGGTCCACTACGGCCGACTTACCACCTGAACAATGTATTGATCCATATCACTCTATGATAGTAACTTGCTAGAAGTAGGCAATGTTTGATATTGTGCAATATAGGAAAGAACCGGATGGTTCACTCCATTAGAATTTAAAAAATATGTTTCATTTGTCAAGAAATCATTTCATTAGAATGAAAGCCTTTAAGAGAAAGAAATATATAAACTTTTTGCTGTAAGGTGAGTTTGTAAGTTAGTAAAACTTAAAAAAAAAATTATACTTTTATATGATACCGTAAAAAAATCATAATTGTATTTCGTATTTTTGATGCCCTGAAAAGAAAGTAGTTCAAATATTCAGAAATCATAAGTAATCATCGTTTGAGGAAATCTAAAACCATGTAATTAATAATTGACTTTGTTTATATGTTAGGATATTACATTTGGAGGAGATACCAGTGCAAATAACCAAGAGCAGGTTAAGCCGTATGGTGGAAAGAAAAATCAGAAGAGGAAGCATCGGTAAACCCAAAACAAAACATCTTCAGGCCGAGTAGTAATTTCATTTTGTACGTTATTCTTTTTAGAGGTCACAATTCCGAGGTTACATTTGGTCGATATTTATTTCCATATATACCCTTTTAATTTGATGACATTCTAAATTCTTATAGGTACTTTGAAGCTCAATTCATTATGGATGACTAGAAACGAGGCAAAAAAGAATGATCAACAACATGGAGTCTGCTGCATGTTCACGATCATTAAAAAAGAGAGTTCTATATGGTTGGATAGGCTCATACCCATGAACCGGAGAACAAAGTTTAACGTTTTCAAGAGGAAAATGAAAACTCAGTAGAGGGCAGGTATCTCTTATTTTATAGCAATTAATGTTCACCTGATCTTCGTGTAAAACAAAGTTTTATGGAGGACTACATCTGATTTGGAGAGATTAGAAAACATGATGTATGATTCAATTCGACTGGCAACAGATGTTCATCGGCATGTTTAATATTTTACATAAATGTTTTTATTTTAATTATATTTTGATTTTCAGAGTATGAAATATTTATTTCTACTTTTGTTCTTAAATATGCAAGTTGAATAAGTTGTTGTTCAGGGTATGTATAATCACAGAGCATATTTGCCTCTCACAGTCCACTAATGCCTAATTGATTTGCTAATGAAATGTCAGGGAAAGCTATCAGATGTTCAGGTAAATTTTTTTTACTTATGTTTCAGCACTCTGATTATAGGCTTTTGGCTTAAAACTATAGAAAATTTGTTTTAAGTTTTGATACATTATGTTTCTCTGATTATCAGTGCGGGGAGCAGATGGAACTACAACATAATCTGTAGGTTGTGCACTATTCTTCTTTCTGTTTTCTACGTCTTCCCTTTTCCATCTTAGCAGGTAAAAAAGTTTCCAGTTGCTTACTTGCTCCTACATGTGATTGTAGTTGATTAGGAATATGGTGTTTGGATGGTAACATAATGCTTTTCTTTTGATTTACTGTTGGACAGATTATGTTATTAAAAGAATGTAAAGTTTTTAATTTGTACAATGATATCATATGGCATAACATTATTCTTAATGGATTTATCTTTGGATCCTACTCTTTGGATATAATCAATGTTTGTATACAGATTTTCACAAAATTTTATGGTGGTTTTATAGTTGTATGTTATTCTTTTTTTCAGGTTTTGAAATACAATATATCAGCTGCTCATATTAGATAATTATGACTTTTTTGGTTATAGTAGCCTGATGCCTCATCAACGATTCAGATTATGTTACCATCCAAACACCTGCTTTTATGCTCAGTGGAGAACCTGATTTAAATTCATGCTCTACACAAGATGGGCTACCATATTTTAGGCGAAAAAGGTAATGTTCCAACTCATTCTTCCTTTTCCATTAAAAAGACTTTTTTCGCATGTTCAACTTAAAGAAATGGTTTTAAAATACAAATTTAATCAAAAATATAGTTTTAATTAACTTATTTAGACAAAATAGTTTTAATTTTGACATTCAAATGTGATGAAATGATAGATTTGTGTCTTTCATATAGCATTTCCTGTTCTGCTTTCAATGTCTGAGCCATAGGTTTTCGTTTCTTCCTTCTTTTGCTCTCAAAATTCCATGCTTACATTTTAAGATATGTTGTATGTTCCTAACTTATCATTTGGTGGAAATTAATATAACTTTTTCTCAATTTTTATTAGGCACAATTGATAGAGCCTCTGGTGAAGGGGACACTTAATGTTCTTACATCTGCTGCTAAAGTTCCATCATCTTCCATGGTTGCAGTTGTGTTTCCTTATGAACCTCTGTTTTTTTTGTTATTGATATGGGGTTGGTGGGATGCCTTGCAGCAAGAAGAAAAATGCAATGTGAGTGAGTGCTTTTAAGTTTCAACACTGCAATCTTATATAATTATTTCCGTACAATAATCTTGACATTTATTTATTTATCTATTTCAAGTGCTTAGTTATTTATCGATTTCCGTGGATGATGATACCTTATGGGCTTTAATACTCGTTGCACTCTCTAATCTGGTGACCTACCCACTTTGTATTTTCTTTAACCGATCTTTGTTTTTTTTAATTATGGAGTGGTTATTTAAAACACTTAACCATGCTGAATATGTAATTGCAGGGACAATAATCATTTCATCAACTACTTCCTTTCCTAAATTTCTATATTAGACCTATCCAAAAATATATTGTATGTTAAATATATTTTCATCAATATAATGGTATGTTGCAGTACATATACAACCTGAAAAAACAAAAAAAAAATGAGTCAGCGCCAACGGGCGCGCATTATTCCCATCTAGTTATAATTGAAAATTAAAATAAATTGGTATATATCTTTACCCATTTTTACCAACTACACAAGTTGGTACCAAATATACTTTATATGATACTGGTAGCAAATTTTTGTGCTATCAACTTGTTTTCTCTTTATAATTCCTCATCCTTTAATTTGAGTTGTTGCCCAATCTTCCCTTATTTATGATTTTAGAGTGATTGTTAGACACGGTTTTATGTAACAACCCAAACATTCATAGCAGCCCCAGGCAAAGCTGATGAACACCTGGTTTTCTTTGATAACCATTTTTTCTAAAAGTGGTGTGGCTAGCTTTTAATTGATTTATTTTGATTATAGATTGAAGTTATGTTGTATTTTTGTTTCTGCTGGTTGTTAAGATGAAAAACGAACAAAAACATGGATAGAAAAATATGGGAGTATATGAAGGTGGATGACAAATAAGTGACGGAGAAGGAGAAAAAAGAAGGCATCAGAAGAGAAGAAAACAATGATAATGTCACACCCCCGAACCGAGTAAACGGCGGAAACATCCGATGGTGGATGACGTCACGTACAGTATCATAACAAGTGAATAATAGAGATCAAAGCATACAAACATTATATTGATAATTGATAAGTTTTTACATGGTATTTGAATAATTGGTTGACTCCATAAGCATACAACAAAAATATAAGACGTAATAACACTAAGCTCCGTCTTCACCAAAACCTGTGTAGGTACCTGTCTACTGATTTCCTGAGATTACAAGTGGTTTTGAAAAGAGAGTGTCAACAATTAAGATGGTGAGTTCATAAGTGTTTGTATAAGAAATATGTTGTTTTTCTTTGTAAATTGTATGAGTGTGCTGCCAGAAAATCCAATATTTTCTTGTAAAATGATTTGTAGTCTTAATACCTTAAGACCAAAAATGTATGAATATCGTAATACTTGGAAATAGTGTAATGTAGTTTTATATCTTTATAAAACTATTTGAATGTATGTGATACCGAAATGTAAGCAGTATTGTACTATATATATAGTGTACTGTAGTAAAAATCCTTTGCATGTATGTTTATGGAATTACCAGCGGTACTGTAAAATTGTGTAGTTTTATCTAATTAAAATCATTTGAAGGTATGTATGTAAACAAAACGTATTACTAATACCAAGTTGTGTGTTATTATAACCATGCTAATGACCTAGATGGCCTATACGACGTTCTTCAGGCGTCAGAATCGGTACGACATTTGTCACCCCAGACCTGCCGGCCTAGTTGTTGCAAGCAGCTTAGGTGCGGGATTGTCAGTCCCGTATAGATCTATACACAAGTATCACGCTCTCCCTCCAGGAGACTCTGGTTATAATACATGAATTTTGTTGGTACTCATGTAAGTACTTGAAGATAATGTCTCACAAAGCTATATTAACGATTTACGTATAGTGTAGTGAAATTCATTTTTCTTGTAATGTTTGTATGTAAATGTTTAAATAGTAGGAAAAATAATTACTCTTTTAAATAATTATTTTCTATGCCCCCAACCGGGTAAAATAGTGTGTATGTTCCATAAACTATACCTATTATAGTTTATATAAATGTTTCGTTGAAATGGTGAACCCTTTTTGTATATTATTATCAAATTTGCCATGATAATAAGTTGGAATAAAATAATTTTATATGTTCGTTTATATAATTATACCCTTTTTGCTCGACATGTTACAAAAGGGTTAAAGTTTTATTGTATAAAATTGGTACTCATATGTATATTAACACAATTTATCTTGTGTTTTACATGTATTCCCCCCCTCCCCTAAAACACATAAAAATCGTGAAAACTGTAGGGGTATGAGCTCACCTCGAGTGTGTTCTTGGCTGGTTAATGAAGTGATAGCGGAAATCCTCAGGTTAGAACACCCGTATATAGCTGTATCCTAATAGTGTTTAACACACGATATTGTGTGTAAATTAGTTATATATCAAGAATACGTAGTAAAAACACTAGTTATATTTAGGAAACTTACCAAATAATTCCTAAGAATTATTTGTTAAGAATGTTTTTCTGGGTAAGCTTGAATGTTCTTGGGTATGTTTGAAGATATGAATATGTTATTGACGTAAGTTTGAAGATTTGAAGATATTCTTGGCAAAACTTTGAAGATTTGAAGATTGAATTCGGTTCTTTGAGAGCAAAATGGAGACTTTTCGATGTTGGAAATGAGAAATGAGCTTGTGATTTCAGTTTGAGCATATATATATATATATATATATATATATATATATATATATATATATATATATATATTATATATATATATATATATAAATTGATTTGATAGTTGCATAGGGAAGTGTATTTTATCATTTTGGGATGTGTGCCACCGATTAGAAATGTGTTCTCGGCTTATCCTCCAAATCGAGATCCTTGATTTCGGTTAAAAGCTCCAACCAAGAACCTTAATTTTGGTCCAAAAAGCAACCGAGAACTCAAGGTCTTCGGTCTTGCAGGTTCTCGGCCTAGGGGTTCTCTGTCCCTATGGTTCTCAGTCCAAATGGTTTCACAAAGGTGTTTTCGGTTTAGGTGATGACTTAGATTCTCAAACCGAAAACCTCAAAAAGTAATGTGAATTTTCATTATTAAATCAAATAATTTTAATTATTTGACTTTTGTTTGACATTCTTGACTTGCTTTGACTTTGGTTTGACTTGATTGACTTTTATTGACCCGAAATAACCGGTTGCTACATTATCCCCCTGTTAGAGAGAATTTCGTCCCGAAATTATTTCTAAAGTGGGTACTCATGAACTAGGGAAAAGATGCGGGTATTTTTGTTTCATCTGGTCTTCTCGTTCCCAAGTGAATTTGGGTCCTCGGTTAGCGATCCAGCGGACCTTCACTATTGGTATACGACTTTGTTTCGTTCTCTTGATTTCCCTGTCCATGATTTCCATAGGTTCTTCTATGAAGTGCAGGCTCTCGTTTATCTTGATTTCATCGAGTGGGATTCCAAGAGTCTCGTCGGACAGAAACTTCTTTAGATTAGATACATGAAAGGTGGGATGGATGTTACTGAGTTCATGCGGTAGTTTGAGTTTGTAAGCCACCGGGCTGATTCTAGCAAGAATCTCGAATGGTCCGATGTACCTTGGATTTAGTTTTCCACGTTTTCCAAAACATATCATTCCTTTCCAAGGTGAGACCTTTAACAAGACGCGGTCACCAACCTGGAACTCAAAGGGCTTGCGTCGTTTATCCGCATAACTCTTTTGTCGGTCCTTTGATGCTTTTAGTCGTTCTCGAATTTGGACAATCTTCTCTGTAGTTTCTCGTATGATCTCGGGACCGGTGAGGGAGCTATCAGGAACTTGTTTCTTTCCTAGTTGCGTATCACCCACTTTATCCCAGCACAGAGGGGATCTGCACTTACGGCTATAGAGGGCTTCAAACGGAGCAACTTTGATGCTAGTGTGATAACTATTGCTGTACGAGAATTCGATGAGTGGTAAATGGGTATCCCACGCTTTACCAAAATCTATTACACAAGCTCTCAACATGTATTCCAGCGTCTGAATGGTTCTCTCACTTTGCCCATCGGTCTATGGATGGTACGCTGTACTCATGTCGAGTTTGGTTCCCAAGGACTTTTGCAGTGATTGCCAAAACCGTGAGGTAAACCTACTATCCTTATCGGAGATAATAAATATTGGCACTCCATGCACTCCATGCAATCGTACAATCTCTTTAATGTATGTCCTGGTTAGCTTCTCCATCTTGTCGGTTTCTTTTATTGGCAGGAAGTGCGCGGATTTGAGACACATTTAGCACTAAGGATCTCAAAGATTGAAACTTTACTGATATTGGGACACATTTAGCACTAAGGGTGGCAACCCTAAGCATAGAAACGAAGTTGAACCATAAAAATCCATTCTTGGGACCTAAAGAGGTCCAAAACTCCATTAACATAGATCTAAGCATTCATGAGGCAAGTTGGAAGCTTTTTACCTCAAACGAGTGCCAACTGGTGAGGTAATCTCGGATCCTTGAGCTCAAGATACTCAAGTTCTTCTTCACTAACTCCTTCTTTCTCCTTCCAAGCTTATAACCACCAAGATGAGCTTCACTAGACCAAAATCACACAAGGATGAGGGTATTAGGCTTCCTAGGGTTTTTTTGAGGTTGAGAGGCTGGTGAGGAGTCTAGGGTTTAAGTCATAATGTTGTATTTATATGCATTAAACCCTAAAATTTAAGGTTTTAAGTCTGCTTGCGTACGATGTGCATACGCGCATGAACTCCCCACATCCAATGATGCACTACGCCCCGCGTACGCCAAGCTTACACCCAACGTACGTCTTCGGGTAGCCCAATCATGACGGCCCACTTGCTAACGGTCCAACTCATAATCCACATATTTATTTCATAACCCAAACAAGTAATTACAAAGATTTTAAATAATTATTACCTCAAGTGACGGATGTTATAGAACTATTCTGTATACGCCTCAAAAGAAGTACCGAAAAGGAGTAAACAGTACTCTATTTATAGACAAAATAATAGAAGATAATTCTGAAAACAGATTAAGCAAAAATAAATTCAATAATTAATCAGAGAAGGGTATAACAGTAATCTTGGCTACATTCAATTTTGGTAAATATTTAAAACATTTAATGTCCAGGGAAATTAGTTAGTTAACCCTAGAAAAACACTCACCATTCGTCCTTAAAT